ATATATATATATATATTTATATGAGCCATTTTTTTGAAAGTTGAACATCGATCTTTTTAAGCTATCATATAGCGTTATGTAGCGGAAAAAGACTCATACGGTACAAGTATATGCGAATGTATAAAACACTTAAAAGGACGTGAGATGTACTGATCGTTTTCCGATTACTTTTTGAAGTGTGTCTGTCCCCCTAACCGCCTGTGCGTCTCATATTTTTATGTTTAACTTACAGATCGCAATTTTTAAGAAGCTATGAAGACATTTGGTACACCAACGTGTTTTCGATCAAGGCACAACGCTATTGAAATTGGTTCGGATTGGACGAATTGTTCGAACATATCCCCCATAAACGATCTTTTTAAGAAGATTTTCTCAAAACATGTTTCATGTTGTTGTTGTTGTCGTAAAAATACTTTCAATTTGAAAATTAAAATTTCCCTTTTTGCAAATTTTGCTTTCTACCCATCTTCATCGGTAAGATGAATTCAAGTTTTAACAGTAAGTAAGTTAGGACAAACGAACAAAAGGCTCTACTACACGGAAGCGTCATACCCTAATATAAAGCGATAGTTACTAGTCGATAGACCCAATGTACAATTACGAAATGAATTGTTTATGCTGTTTAAGGTTAAACTTACAGAAAGAAAAAAAAAAAAAGAGAAAAACAAACATAATAATACCTTAACAAAATGGTTTGGCAAGGATTCTAAATTATTTACGATTTTTAAAACACATTTCCACATTATTGCCAAACGACATCGTATCATAGAATTTGAATGAGTTTTTCATTCTTTTGTTTTGCGTTGTAAATGAGATAATGGCATGGATGACACAATATAACGATGCTGCTCAATTTTTTTTTTTTTTTTTTTTTTTTCATATGTATTTGTGTGTATGTGCATGCAATCATTGTTGTCAGAAAAGTAAACATTTTAATCGTAACTAGAAGTACCGCACTCCGACGAAAATAATCGGTTTAAATATATAAAAAGCATAAGAGACACACTTGCAGTGAGAAGTGGGTATTATTGAATGCAACTACATTCCATACGCATTGACATGAACAGGTACACCAATATCATTAACAATAACGAGTATAATGATAGTGATAGATATATATATATATATGTTCTACAATATGTAGATTGTTTGCTTAGCCTAAAATTTTAAAGCAATCTATTTATGTTGCCCTGTGTCCTCCCCGCAGCGAAATTTGCCTGCGGGAAAGCACAAACGGTCAAACAAATCAATGGAATCGAATTGACATCTGAGTTAATTCGAGTGATCACAAAAATTGTCTTGCACCTAGGTTGGGCTATGTAAGTCGCAAAAAAGTAAAAAGATTTCAATTTATATTAGTTAGACGTATTAGGGCATATGAACTAAATCAACAATGGACATGGGATAAAACTATATTCTATTTATTAAGTCAGTCAATAGCATTGCCTTTTAAAAATATGAAAAATTCTTTACGATTTTAGATTTTCATTCTTTATGCATAGGGTCGGGTCTTCGATTGTTTTTTCAGAATATTTAGAAAACAAATTTTCGAATATCCAGTGCATCTGTAACACCGTACAGACACCGTATATTTCTTTGATAAGCGTAAGGTTTTGTATGAAATTGCTCCGTCCGTTACCGAAACATGAAGGAGGTCTCTGCCCAAAAGAAAATCATTTTTACGATAGTAATCACATTATAACCGACGTATAAAAATATATGAAAAGTTATCAATCAATCAATCAAAAGTTATCAATATATTTATGTATAAAGTTTTCTTAAAAATAACAAATTTGTGTGTGTGCGTGTGCGTGTGCGTGATGGGAATGATTTTACAAAAACATTTTCATGTAATTACACCTCCCGTTTACCCTTATCGTCAATTCCAAGGAAAAACAATGCAGCAATGAAAGCAATGGATATAATGAATTTTCTCACTTGGTAAACGTACGGTATATGTATGTGGTGGTATACTGAATAACACCCTTCTCCTTACAATACTGTTTTTTTTTGCATATATATATTTTTTTACCATATATTGGAACACCGGGCAATTTGTTTTGTACAACAAATGCAAACTTATATTGAAAAAAAAAAAAAAAAAAAAACCATTGAAATCATTTAAAAAAACCAAATAATTTACGTGTTCATGACTTTGCTTATCGCTAAAAAAAAAAAAAAAAAAAAACACAAGGCAGATGTAGAGATTAGACTTTCTATGTACAGGTGACGGAAGTAGAAAAAAATGTTTTTGTATGATTAATACAATAAGTAGTATGGGACGGGGATATCATTACAACAGTAATGCTGCAGCGATTAAAAGTAATTTGCTTTATTTAGGTAATCATTCTCTCTCACTTTCTAATATGATCGCTTTTTTATTGTGGGTTGACTGGTAACTTGATGTGTATTACGACACATCAGCTTAAATATTATTAAACACGATCTAACATTTTTAGGGGAAGCGTTTGACATTTTTTGTAACAGAGAATATTTTACATAAAATTGAATTGAAAATTTCATTTTTGTCAAAAGTCATTTTTCGCGATTTTCAGCGAAGAAATTTAACTTCCGCATGGGGATGGTTACTAATATTCACTTGATGCAAAACCATTTCACATAATTGATTTGATGGCTGTTTTTGTCTGACGCATAAATTAAAAGTCACTTCAGAAAGTCTGCTTCGCATTTCGCGAACTTATATGGCAACTCCATGATCTTAAAATATCGTAGTGATCAAAGAGCTCATAGGAAGCACTTATCCACGGGAAGAATCTTTTTGTACATTCGACACCAAGTAAGGGCCCTACCTCATCGACCGGTAGAAATTTCACAGCATTTAAAATTCGTTTAGTGTGTATCAAAATAGTCGTTGGGTTGAGTTCGTTGTCAAGATTAGTTAAACTCAATCGAAAGTACTTGAAGGAAAGAGGCTGTCGAGTAACTTGCAAAATACAAAAACGAATCAAAATTTCCTTTGCTATGTATATGTATATATATATATATACATATATATATTTAATTTTTGTTTTTTCAATTATTCTGGGCGTGTAACATGGTGATGGCACAGCAAAAAGTAATGAATCGACGCAGTCTAATAGACGAGGTGTTGTGCCTTTCCCGATGGAGCACTCACTCTAGCTGGGGCCAAGTGTACTCTATTGCACTCACATTTGGAACCGTAAATACCGACTTGCTAGCTACGGTAGTTTGGATTAAATCAAAAAAAAAAAAAAACATATATATATATATATATAAATATAACTTTCCAAGGCTAAATACACCCAACGATTAATGAGAAGATTTTCTTCAAAAACTTGAACTCTTTGATTACTTATAACAATTTGAAAAATTATTTATTAAGATTTTATATATATAGTCAAGTGATTAGATTAGTTAGGCTTACGTGGGAAATGAAATCTTGCTTTTGTAAATTATTTCCCTTTGGTATGTAATTCCTGGGCCATGGACCGGCTAGAATACTACTTTAATTAATCAATCCGAACTTCTCACAATAAGCAATGCTAATTGTTAGGAATAGATGTCTTTAGTATATGTAGAAAAAAAAAAAAAAAAAGAGCTGTTTGTTTAAGATGTGCTATGCTTGCATCTACATGAGAAAATCTTGTTACTGCTATCGAGAGATGAGAGAAAATAATAATGAAAGAAATAAAAATCTGTGATCATATATGTGATCATGTATGTGTAAATATGAAAATGAAATAGTTGTCAAAAAAAAAAAAAAAAAAAAAAACAAAATTTTTACTGTGGGAAATTAAATAGACTTTTAAGCGTAGCTCGACAAATGGGTGGATGACCGATCGATGTAAACAAGTGGCAATCGAAAGGACTCGACTCTAGTGAGTATGTCGCGTGGATTAGTACTTCCCAGTTGAGTGTTTCCAATGTGTTGCGAACCGATTTTTCACTATGCACGGATGGACGGATGGCACGTAGATATATGCTCGTTGTATTGCTTTTTTCTTGATATTTTTTGGTCGCTT